ATAGAGATTGAACGAAGCAGTGCAACTACGCAATTACATTCGAGACAATTTGTTGTGTGTGGAAGTTTGCTTATCTGGTTATATAAGCCAATATACCTTTTTAGCTTTGAAAAGTGCGAAGGCGGAGTGCGAGAGGGCGGTGGTTGGATGAAATGCGTTGGTTAGCGCCCTGCCAAAGCTGTCTATCGCCCTGTCCAAAAGACAAAAAATGCTCTTTAATTTTCATCAGATGGCAGTAAGAATATTTTAGAGATGGGTTAAATAAACTTGCAGATCGTATAGACCATCCTGTAGATAAGTCAGCGCCAAGCCAAAATGAAGGTTGCAGTCCCGAGGAGATATGGTCAGAGCCAACTGAAAGTCCTCAATGGCAGGAGGGTATCTGAAAGATAATTTACTAGTTATCCACAGGAGGAAAAATGCAAAAATGAAGATTTAAGTATATTCGTAGATGAAAAAGCGTTAAGCAACACTTTCTGTTAAGTACTTATTTATGGTTCTCTCCACACTATCAGATAGACTCTTGCTAGAAAGAAAATCAGTTCCAGCGATCATTTTAGGGCATGAGTTGCGCTTGTGATCGGGAATTAAATCAAGAAGCAGGACGCCTATTTGCTTTTCTAGAAGTTCGATTCTATTCTTTGGTGACCTAATATAACTTAAATAATTTGAGGCAAAGGCATAGCGGGAGACCGGGTGAACGGTCTAAGCTACATCAGCTGGAAATAGTCATCCCGTTTAGCTTTAAGCACTAGTCAATGGCCACGGTGGATGGTAGATATTGATTAAAAGTCAATAATTGTTGCTTTCCGCAATTCCCTTAATAATTTTTCCGACAAAACTCTTATGCCCTTATTATTTTCAACAGCTTTTTAAATGCGAGGAACCCGATAGATATTCCAATCAGTGTGTTTGCTGCTACTTTATCTTTCCTTGGTCTGACTGTGCGCAATGCAAACTGACTTCAAGAGAAAAGTCCTTTTAAAACGAAACATAATTTTTATATATGCCCGTTCTCTGGTGACCCACTCTTTCATCTCGTAGTATGTGACGGCTCGCTGAGTATATATATCTTTTAGAAGGTGTGGCTCGTTGGAAAGTAAGAGGCACGTGCTGAGGTCCTGAATACACTGCCAGGGTTCTATACGACGGAGTATGCAGCCTTTTTCGTAGAATCCCTAAAGGATAAAATGAATGGAAAAAACAAAACGGCGTTTGAGGAGACCTTGGCGTAGCCGTTTACAATGGCTTCAAAATATGTAAGCAAAAAAGCATTAAGTCTACGCAGAGAGTAAATTGCTTGCAAGTAAACTTAAAGGTATCTACTTGGCAAGCACGCTAATATTTCAGCTCCTACGTTCAGGAAATTTAACTTTGAACTGAAGAGGCTCCCCGTTGACGATAGAAGAGAGGGACAGATTTTTTTTGCTCTGTGTGAGCCCTTCTTGTCTTGACGAGATTGTGGGGGTCTGTGGCTTATGCCCAATCCAAAGTGAACTGAGGTACGAATATCTACGCCGTCGAAACTGGTAGAATAAGCAGCCCCTCATTTTGTTCTGTTGTTATTTAAGGGTAGTCGGTAGGGGAGCTCAACTAAACACCAGCGCTATATTGTGCTTTTCGCATACGTAAGTGATGCCTTTTGTCCGCTACTTACTAAGTGTGGAAGCCTTAATGTGTCGGAGGAAAGAAGACATAAGTCTTCACACAGATGTGTAGATGGGCACGTTAAGACGAAAGTGGCAACGGTGGTTTATGAGGATTGGTATGCATACTGTCTTTCAAGCTTTACGACTACACTTCACAATTTACGAGCTTTTTGCGTCAGTATGGAAACAGGAGAAGGAAAAGAAAGCCAGCAGACTAAACTTACCACTGTCGATGATGGCTTTGCTTGGCAAACAAGCTTTAGGTCTTTCAGTGCGTGCTGCCACCTACCGAGCTTTGAAAATGCCAAACCACGATAGAGCCGCACGTCAACTTGAGAGGCGTCCTGGTGCAATATATCAGTCATAAGAGCTATTGCATTCGTCAAGTTGCTGTAAAAAAAACACGGACAATTCAAGGGACGAGCAAAACTGTGAACAGCTAGTTTTTAAAAATAACTGCAGAAGTCCCTGGGCATTTTTAGACTTAACTTTCTAAACACCCGCACGATGACATCCTTGGTCAGAGTGCCGATAATAGGGTATGGCCCCAAACCTAGTTACGACGAGATAACAGTTTGCTGTTACTTGTTCTCTGAAGCAGCAAATACGATAGAAATTTGACCAGACATACTTGAACATTACATTGAATTGAAAAAGTAGGCATATTTTCACAAATAAATGCTCTGCGGATCAGAGAAAGCGATGACTCGTGTCGTTTTTGGAACGCTTTCGAGCCAAGTTCAAAATGCCTGCATTTGGTTGTCCTAAATTTACCGAATTTCGCTATCGCAGTAAAAAGTAGGCGAATTTAAGCGCCGTTTTACAGAGGAAAGGTGTGGATACTGACTGAGCTCAATGTCGACAATTATATCTGTAAGAAAGTGAGAATGAAAAGGGTTTTGGTAGTGGTTTGTGCTCATTTACTTGCTTATCGAGATC